TGTGTGTGTGTGTGTGTGTGTGTGTGTGTGTGTACTCCCTCACACACCCTTTGGGATTAAATCCAGAACCTCACTCATGCTAAATTCTACTATTTCCCAGTTTTCCTTCAAATAAAAACATTTCCTTCATACAGCTTACCTTCCTTGATATGGCTTACCTCGGTGTATGATCTCTGTGCTGTCCTAAAGCATGAATAACTGACAACCACCCAACTCTACTGAAACTTTTTTTAAAAAGTGCTTAAAAGCACTGAAAAAATGCTCTGATAGCATTCAAACATCCTGAAAGAATGCAGGTGGACTAGGGGAAGGTATGTGGAGTCCAGAGACCCTTAGTACGCTTGTCCCGCCTGCCTACTGGCCTCTGGGAAGTTCTCTCCACATTTTGGCATTCTTTCCTCTTACCTTCCACACCTAGGGGAGTTTTCGAGGCTGTCTTCCCTGCCCCCACCCACGTAGGTGCACACCAAGGACAATAGTAATCCAGGCAGGTCATGGAGCTGTGTTCAATTTTTTTGTGTGAGCAATCCCTGTACTGACCTTTGAGACAAAAAATAAAAATAAAATTTTATAAAATAACTGAGAAAGAGAAGAGTGGGTTGGGAATTTTTTCGGAAAATTCTCTTCAGCCTGGCTGCAAATTGCTTAAAATGATCCCAAAATTGCTGGGGGTGGACTAGCTGTTCAAGGAAGCCGTGCTTCATCTGGCTTTATCCTCTAAAATGCAGTAAGTAGAATTTAAAAATTAAAAAAAAATTAAAAAAAAGTTTAGTTGAAAACCTATGGGCCAGGGAGAGGGCTCAGTAGAATAAGTGCTTGCCTGGCAAGCTCAAGGGCCTGAGTTCAATCCCGGTTCCACAAAGAAAAAAAAAAGAAAGAAAAAAGAAAAAGAAAAAGAAAGAAAAAGAAAAGAAAAGAGAGAAAGACAAGAGAAGAAAAAAGAAAAGAAACCTAACAAGCAAGACTTGCAGAATTTTTGAGATGAAATCATTTTTAGCCGGAAAGAAACAGCTCTTCCCTCCTAAACGGTTTTGGGCCAGGGCAAAAATCCTTTCTTTGGAGCAATTGGTGAGGAATGAACACACAAGTCTGCCAACCCACCCGAAGGAAAGTTGCAGCAGACATTTGTTGAAGAAAAATAATCTGCCTTTCCAGGACAGCAAAGGTCCTGGCAGCGCCGAGCTCAGGGGGCAACCTCTCCACTGTGGGCGCCCTTGCGTTCACGCACTTTTCCACGCGAATTCCCTGCAGCGCTATTCATTGTACCTCGCTTTTGAGAAGACGTTTTCTGATACTTTGGCCTTAAACACCGTGCAGAGGTCTCGGCCCCGGCTCGGACACGGACCGGCCTGGCCTGGCACCGCCCTCGCGTGCCTCCGGGAACCGGCGGGGTGGGTCGGGGCAGGCTTCACTTGGCCGCTGCGGCGCTGGGTGCACTGCGATAGCGGCCGCAGGTGGCCTCGGCTCAGCATCCAAGCCGCTTCCGCTGAGGAGTTTCTGCCTCCCACGTGGGGGGCGCGAGGGGACCAGGCGGGCGGGGACCCTGATGCGGCGGGGGCTGCAAGCATGCCCCAAGTTCCAGGGAACCTGCACCCCCAGGGAGCGCGGCGGGAAAGAGCGGCTTCCGCACCCCACCTGAAGGGCCCGGGAGGGGAGATCAGGGCGAGAGCTTGATTGCGTTTATTTCTTATTTCCAAATCAGAAAATGGAAATTTCCCGGCCCTGGGTCCCTAACGGGAAGTGAGGGATCTGTGGTCCAGGGACGCGCTCCACAGGGTCAAACTCCGCACCTCGGGGTGCAGACGCCCCCAGCCCCCACGGCAGCCCTCGGCTCACCGCGCCCCGGTTTGTGTAGAATCGGAGGCCCGACGTGTGGACGTTCAGGGCTCATGCTGTCTTTACCAGAGTCCTCTCACAACCACCACCAATGCATAGTGGAAGCGCTGGGAAGAAGGTCTCCTCTTTTCTCCCTGCTCTGGACACCAGGTGGGGAGGTGGGGTGATGGGGGGCTGAGCTGTCGGTTCTTCCTGGGGAGGAGTTGAGTTCCAGGCTGCAGGACCAGGAGCTGCATGCCCAGGAGCCGTGGCAACCCCAGAAGTGCTCGCTGGGGTGGGGAGATCAGGAAGTGAAGCTTCCCTGGAAAGTGCGGAGCTGCCCAAAGCTCCCCTAGGCCTTCGGCTAAGATATTTGGGGGAGCAAAGATGGACTGGCTGAGGCAAAGCCCCAAGCCCGGGTTCCAGAAGTCCCAAGAGACAGCTGAACAGGAAGACTGCCCATGTGCAGTGTGTGGTTGTTTGCAGATGGCAGTAGGCAGCCGAGTGAGTGTGGAGCGCCAAAGGAAGGGCACGCAAGGCTAGAAATGTGGTCTGTTTCGATTTAAACGATTGCCAATCAGAAATGTCTGCACTTGCTTGGGCTATGAAAAGAATTCTTTCTTTTTTTTTAATACTAGAAATCGGACCAAAGGCATTACTGTGGAACTACATTTTCATCCTTTTTTTCTTTTTTCTTTCTTTCTTTTTTTTTTTTTTTTTGTTTTTGTTTTTGTTTGTATTTTGAGACTGTCTGCTCACTTGCCCAGATTGGGTCTGAAGTTGAATTTGCAATCCTCCTGACTCAGCCCCTGAGAGAGCATGCCAAAGCCCCACCAGGTGAATCTGGGTCCTAGACTTAGAAAGTATAGGTTTGTATCTTAGTATTGTGGTCTTAGACGAGTTATATGATCTCTCTTTAAAACAGACATTTAGTAAGGAAAATTGGCATAGGGATTAGAAACTTTTAACAAGTTATGGCCATTATTAACTGTCTCAATGTGATGATAGTTTCAAAGAAACTCCATGGGAGGCAGAGTGGGCCAGCACAAACCACTGGCTCCTCGCACACTTCCCAGGCCTCGCACAGGTCCTGTTGGTTCTCAGCTCTGCAGATCTCCAGCCCTGTGGGCCTGTGCACTGGTTAGAATGATCTAATTTCCCCAGGTTATATGGCTGGCCAGGCTGGTGGGAGGATAGGAGGAGAGAGGGAAAGGCAGGCCAACTCTGGGCTCTTGAAAGCACTGGCATTGTTGTAGAGCAGGAAGGCACAGGGAGGGTGTGCTGAGTGGCTTGGAGGTAGGGATGAGGACCATCCAGGAGGGCTCAACCACACCTGAAGAATCCCAGGCCTCAGCCTGTGGACAGTGCATTAATTTCAAGAAATTGCAGGGGTGAAGTGGTGCTGGACACTTACCAGGTATAAGGGTCCGAGCATGGCACCTTGCCTTGCCTAACAGGAATTCAAGCAAGGAAGCACTTGCAACTTACAAAGCCAAAGATAGAGGCAAAGCTGCCTCCAGCATACCAGCATGGCTCCAGCCACAGCAGCCAATCACAAAAAAGACTGCATGTGCTTAGAGTGAACCCTCCAGCTCTGCTAACCTGGCAGCACTTCTGCGATTCCTTGAGAGCTAGAAGAGCAAAGGGGCCAAGGGCAGGGCAGAGGGCACCTACCTGTCACCATCCAGCCCATCCATGGCCTGGGAATTGTGGCCCTGGGAGTGCTGAGGCAAGGCATTTGGAGGCCTTGAGAACAGACCTGAACACTTTTGAAGCTTGCCTGTAGCTTCTGAATCCCAGATCCAAGGACTGTGATACTGGGGCGGTTTCCATCTCCCTATAGTTTGCTCCCTATTGTTGTAGTATTTGTGCTCTGATTTGTGACCAACAGAGAAAGAAATCAACACATAAATATTCGATGCCCGTCCTTATCTCCATTATCTTTCCCCAGGATTAGTGATTCTCACTCTTCAGTGACAAGTTGCTTTCAGGTGAAAAGGTGATTTCAAAGCTCACCAAACACAGCAGCAGCCTGACCTATGTTTGTTTGTAGAGCCCTACAACGCATGGTATCAGTAGGTCCCTGTGTGA